AAAAAAAAAAAAAAAAAAAAAAAAATAGGTCTTCCTTATTAGTTTGATTGTTGGGGTGCCCTTGTTTTACATAAAGAAATTCCTATATATGTGAGAATCATTATATTTGTGCAGGTTGAGTGTTATGTTTTAAAGATATGCCGGGGAATCAAAAAGCTCACCTCCAAAAGGATTACCACCAAAAAAGGATTCGAAGATGTCAAAGGGGTTGTGGCCCCCACCACCTCCACCTCCCATTCCTTCCTTGAGAGCATCCTCACCGTACTGATCGTAGATCTCACGCTTCTCTGGGTCACTCAAGACTTCATATGCTTGAGCAATCTCCTTAAACTGGTACACAGTGTATACGTAGGAGTTAGCTTCAGCAAAGAGAATACATGGAAAGAACCAGTGAAAAGGCTCTAAATAAGTTGTCATTTGAATAGAACACAACAGATTTGAGATATGTGCTCTGTTGGCTTCACACACACACAGACACACACACACAGACACACACACACACACATGGAGAGAGAGAGAGAGAGAGAGAGAGAGAGAGAGAGAGAGAGAGCCAAGGAGGCTAATTCAGATTAGTCCTACATTCCATTTCCCGTTAGTTTTTTCAATAACCTACCTAGCCCCCACATATATCTTTCTTTAACTTTTTATACAGCATATTTATATTATCAAAAGAAAGACGATTCAATCAGCCAATAATAAAAATGACAAAAAAAATGTCAAAGCATGAACTCAGCACCGGATAGCAAACCTAGAAAAAAGTAGATTTTTGACCACAAAATAGACTGTAAACAGACAAATCAAAACGGCGAACACTGAAAAAATCAAGAAAATAAAAAAGGGCTACCTTCTCCGGATCCCCGCCCTTATCGGGGTGATTTTTAATGGCCGATTTGCGGTAGGCCTTCTTCAGGTCATCCTGTGAAGCGTTCTTTGACACTCCCAGTACCTCGTAGTACTTGGTGTTGTCGCTTTTCCTCGGCGCCCTCCCAAACATCTCTACTGTCGTTCAATTTTCTTCAAAAACAATCGAATTCAATTACTCGTCGAATCGACCAAGCAAAAAAAAAAGTAGAAAATTCAAGAAAAAACATCAAGAAATAGGTCACGACACAATCGATCTGCAATTAAATTGATGAATTAGGGCATCAAACAGTGTACGGGCTTACAATGACAGAACTGAGGGCGGCTTGAGAGGCGGAGGTAACGCGAGCGAGAGAGGAAGAGATGAGGAATGAGCAGATCAGTGGCTTTATTTGGGGAAAGCACATCGGACGGCTGAGATTGGTTGAGGGCAGACCGACTGCCTTCCCAAACAAGGCTCTATAGTTGCACGTACTTTTTACTCCTCGGCAAGAATAAAGTTTTTTTTTCATATATTTGTTAAAAATTAGATTATGGTAAGGGCAATGCTATATGTACACCCCTTTTTAATAAATTACACAAAGGGCAATGCTATATGTACACCCCTTTTTTACACACAAGGGGGTGTACATATAGACACTCCCTATGGTAATATTCGGTAAAAAAATAAGATACCTTATAGTTTACTTAGTTAGCTTATAAGATTTTTGTATTTAAATAAGATACCTTATAGTTTACTTAGTTAGCTTATAAATTTTCTGTATTTGAATAAATTCGTTTGGTAGAATGAGTTTTTTTAAAAAGCTCGATCTTATCTCAAAGTTTATGTTTGGTAGACAAATAAGTTGGCTTGTAGATTATTTAGTTAGCTTATAAGCCCCCTGTATCCAAATAAGCTTCCTTTGGTATGATGATTTTTTTAAAAAGCTCGAACTTATTTGATAAACTTCTTTGGGTAGCTCAGCTAATTTTATTAAACACTTTTATCATATGAGCTAGTTTTTCAGCTATAAGCTTTCGAAAATTACTGATAACTATAAGCTAGCTCATCAGCTACTTTTACCAAACATAGCATGCATATAATTTTTATAACTAATACTCACATTATGGTTAAAAAAAAATCGACAATCCGAATATCCACCATGTCCGCATGCGGTTGTACCTGGTGACTTGCGGCAGCTCCTAAGCCATCGGTCAGACACGATGCCAGCGAGGGTCGGGGGCGGTGGTGAGGTGCACCGACGATGGGCGAAGGGATGGCATGGCAGTCACGGTGAGCCGGCGAGAGTAGGGACCACGGTGGAGGTGTTGCTGTGAGAGCAGTTGGGGGCGACGACCGGCAATGGCGGGCGGCGACCAGCGAGAGTAGGGGCCATGGTGGAGGTGCTGCCGTGAGAGCGGTTGGGGGCGATGACCAACGATTGTTGAAATGTGAAGGGACTTGCGCGTGTGTGAATCTGTGTGTGTAATGTATGTGTGTGTGTGTAATGTATGTAATCTGTGTGTGGGAATTGTGTGTGAGAGAGAGATCATGAGAGAGACAGATTTGTGTCCACGTGGCACGTGTGAGTTAGTGTATGTTGTGGGTCCCACTTTTTGAGTGTGCTAAAGTACTATATTATCCTTAATGAAAGTATATTTTAGCTTTTTTATTATCAATGTTGTGGGTCCCACTGTTTTGATTACTCTTAATGAAAGTATATTTTAGCTTTTTTATTAACAACTAGTGCGTATCCCGTGCGATGCACGAGTATATAAATTTAGAGAATATTATAATTTGACCTGCATTAGATATATGAAAGTTCAATACATACGAACATTATTCATCATAAAATGTTCGTCATGAAAAACTTTTATATTATTAAAAACCTCTCTGTACACAACATTATGAGTTTGATTATTGGGTAACTCGTTGTGAGGAGCACGGGCCGACTCGGGCCGGACGTGAGCTGCACAAAGGGCTGTGGAAACTGGGCCTCACTTAACTGGGCTCCCTTGTTGGGCTTCTCTCCTGGACTGCGGATGTTGATTGTTGTCGTCGAAAAAATTGCCCCCACGCTTGGACTACTTTTCTAATTTCCAATTGTATTATACATTATATTTTATTCCTACTCTAACTCTTTCATTCCTATTCTATGTAGATAGTTATTTTACATTCCCCGCTATACTAATAAAGTATATTTTTAGTTTGAATCATATAACTTCCTTAATAGTGATTTGAATAATTTATAGTTTGAAACATAATTTAATGATTCCCTCTAATTTCTCTCTCCTCTCCCCTTTCCATATTTCATGTTTCACAATTTTTTTCCAAATAAAACAAAAATTACATACAACAATTATTAGGTTTCCCATCAAATAATCAAAATAAGACTGTAAATAAACGTAATTTTTTCCTTAATAATTTTTATATTTTTCTTAAAAAATATTAATTGTTATGTTTGAGGTTCGACACAAAATTGGTTTATTTGCTTCTTATTAATTTTTTTATGAATAGGCTATCTATCTTAGTTTTGTTCAAAGTTATCCTTGATATGTGTTTTAGAGATATAAAAGATGACATTTTCTGTACTAACTAACCACCAAATTTAAATGAATTTTTTGTTACAGCTACTAACATTTTTTTTGTTTGTTCGATTTTCTATTGAAACTTGTGAGCTGATATTAGATAACAATTTTTAGTTAATAACTTGACTACTTTTCATTATTAAGATCCACTCCTCCTAATCCCAAAAATTAAGGGTAGCATTTATTGATGCCCGATTTTACTGAAAAAAAAAACTTACCTAAATTAGTAAATATTTAATGCTATCCGAAATTAACCAGAAAGTTGACCTGCTATTCTAAAAAATGGTAAATCTGTTTATATATATATAGATTCATATACAAGTAAAATATTAATAAATCTAATAAATGAATAAAGAAAGAATGATAATTGTAGTATGCTTTTATTTTGTATAATGTAATAAAAAGTAATATAAACTTCGATTTAGGAATATAGATATATGATATTATTTGTAATTTTTTTTTATAAATCAAAGCCTTTGTTATAAAGTTTTATTAACACATTGAAAATAAATTTTTTATATAGTTGTCATACGGAATTCAATCATTTAAACATACAGTACCTTTTTAAATTTTCTACTTACAGTTAATATAAATTATATAATTATTTATTTTAGGTAACACATAAATAATATATCTTTAGAAAATTATTGGATATATGTATATTTTTTAAAAAATTACAATTTTCAAAATTTTCTTACTTTTACTGTATTTAGTATATTAATTAATGTTGTATAAATGTCATGTACGTAATGTTAAATTAATTATAATTAACGTTTTTATATTACGAATTTAAATGGAGCAATAATTTATAAACATTTTATTGTTCGTTTTTTCTATGAAAATGTATTATGTGGTGTGTGAATTTAAATGTATTATGTGTATTATAAGAATCACAGAAATAGTAGTACATAATTAACATTCAAATTCGTTTGAATATGTGTGTGGGCATTGTTTAACTATTAGTGTTTTGGATATTGTGGATTCTAAGAATTACAAAAAACTTGGTATCTAATTTAAATTCAAATTGGTTTGAAAATTTGTATGACATATTTAAAATTGAAAAAAAAAAACGTTTGATTTGGCCAAACAAAAAAGATCATGCTTATCACATAACAATTAAAATAAATAGTTTTTTTGTTGACGATTTATTTTTCCATTTGCAAAAGTTATTTATCTGTATATTCGATTTATACATTAATTATCCATAACAGTTACGGATATATACAAACTAAAAAAAAAATACACAATGCTGTAATTTCAGAAACGTGAGTATATTTAAGCTATTATTGTGTTTATTTTGTTGTCCCTTTAAATTTTAAACACACAAAACGTGTAATGGGATAGTGTTTATTTTTGAATACTAGATCCCTTCAATTAAGGGATGATTTGTTTCTATAAATTATCATAATAACAATATTAGACATATCAATTTAATTAAGTACTAGTACGTATCCCGTGCAATGCACGGAACATAGATATTAAATGAATTATTTTCAGACGACTCTGTTCGTTTAAGTCTAAAATCATTAAAGTTATCATATATTTTTCACTTGTATATTAGAGCTAGCTTGTAAAATAATTTATATATTATCTATACGTATTTAATTCTTTTTTATCGGTTATACATACTTATTTTTTAATTTGAAATAAAAAAAATGTTTGATCAGTTGAGTATTAAATCAACACTAATTAATTTATTAAGCAAGTAAAGACGCAAAGCAAGACAATTTAATTATCCAGCAATTTAGGATAATATATAGTTATTTCTTTTATTAAACATCATTTTTAAAAATAAAACAACATCAGCTCTAAATAATAGGCAACATTCATGGTTTTGTTGAAAACCAAAATAACAAAATCCTTAATTAATGGGTAACATTTAATGCTGTCTTTTTTATTAAAAAAAAATTAGTAAGAATGAAATGTAATTAATGCAAAATGATTTTGACCATAATTTGACCTGTTATTTTTGAAAAATAGTAAATCTTTTTATATATATATAGATTAAGTAATTAAAAAACTTCCATTAATGGAAACTAATTAATGTGTCCAAATTTTGACCAGAAAGTTGACCTACTATTTTTAAAAAATGGTAAATCTTTTTATATATATATAGATTGAATCATTCAATCGAATGACTACGATGTATTTTTATTTATTTCACCAAAAATCATTTTCAATTGAACTTATATAATATGGAGATGCTGTGACACCATAAGCCGGTTTCTTTATCACAAATCATAGTAGCCTAGATTCGAAGTGAATCTGCGAGAGTACAGGAAAAGTTCTAAACAAAAAGGCTCGAGACTCTCTCTCTCTCTCTCAAACACACACATTTTCTGCATTTCTCGTGATAGTTTTTAATTATTAAATAATTAAAAATTATTTAATAATTTTAGACAAATTATTAAATAATTTTAACCTGACAAAATATTAAATAATTTTTAATAAATTTATATATGCTAATTAATCTGTACCTGACATTGTAAGCTAATCAATTTTTTTACTAAGTTTTCTGCATATATACAAATAAATATAACAACTCTAGCTGTTTTGCTAATAATTATACGAGGTGTAATTATTATATAGTAATAAAGAGGGAATAGTCTAGTGTATATTCTCAATCCAATCATTGCTTTAATGAATACTATAAGGTAACCATTATATTCTTTAATTCATTGGCATTTGACAAATGAAAATACTATGTACATAATATTTTGAATAAACAACAACAAAGAAATCACCTTGTCGCTCAACCAGATACACTAAGTTAGAAAACATCACAGGTAGGTATTGTTGGAATATCACTTGTGAGTTGTTCCACATTGATTCTATAGGAAAAATGAGCCTAGCATATAAGCCAAGTGGGCTACACCTCCATCACCAATTGATTTTGGGATGGAACCTCACTATGGTGCATATAGGTTCACCCTCTTATGGTGCGCTTAATATGCGTGAGACCGCACTCTCTTGCTCCGATTCTCTAATCTTACATGGTATCAGAGCCAGGACGACTCCTGCCTGGGTTTCTATCTCTACCCGGCCAACTCCGGCCAGGGTCTCGTCGACTCCTGCCTGGGTTTCTATCTATACCCGGCCAACTCCGGCCAGAGTCTCTATCTCTACCCGGCCTGCTCTGGGCTTGGGCTTATAAAGGACTCACAAGTGAGGGGTCGTGTTGGAGTATCACTTGTGAGTTGTCCCACATTGATTCTATAGGGAAAATAAGTCTAGCATATAAGCCACTAAGCCAAGTGGGCTATACCTCCCATCACCAATTGGTTTTAGGATGGAACCTCACTATGGTGCACCTAGCCTCACCCTCTTATGGTGCGCTTAATATGCATGGGACCGCACTCTCTTGCCCCGATTCTCTAATCTTACAGGTATAACACTGAAAATAAGGCATACAATCTTTAATTCAATTAGGATTCATTTTCCTTAACCTTACTAAAAAACTATGCCACCAGTTTAATACTGTATTCTTTTACTTCCTTCATAGAACTCGAAAAGTCACAAAGGAATATCGGGGTTGCTTACAAAGTTAATCCATGGAGGCACAGAATTTCAGTCATTAAACTAAATACACGCTGTCTAAAACAGCAAACCCGGCTGCGACCCCGCCTTCATTTGAAGAAGAGACCTTTGTCCGCATCAAATAACCCGAATTGTCGTTCACGATCACATCTGTCTTGTTCCTGTATATACGCATTTAATTAACAAGACTTCTAAAAATGTGGGCACAAAGTGGGAAAATTACAGAAAACCGCCCTTGAGTTTGGAGAATCAGTGCTATCAAATGGCGTGGCGAATTTTGACAAGGAGAATTTTCTGTGTTTAGGTAGTTGACTCTTGAATAAGTCATTTTGTGATCACGAAAAAATTCAGGGTAGCGTTTTAGCAACAGGTTTCCACAAAGATTGTCATGCACTAGTATTTATTATTGTAGTTTTCCTTTCATAAAAGCCAAGTTGGCCTCTTATGTGTTCTCTTATTGAGTTACAATGAATGTGTAGAAGTACAATCCCACATGGTTTACCTCAAGTAGGTGCCGTATATCCCAAGTTCTGATATAACATGTTCTTTGTGAGAAATCCCATCCCGCATTAGAACTGCACGTGAAATTACCGGAAAAATTCTCTGCATGAGAATGTAAGCTGCTGCATTTTCTTCCATACCTTCCTTCTCCATTCTTTGCAACGAGAGCCTCACATCTTCACCATAGATATTGTTACCTAAGCATAAAGTGTACAAGATAGTCAATGATGCACCCAAATTTGAAGCTTTTTTTTTTTTTTTTTTTTTCTTACAGTAAAAAATTGGAAATCAAACCTCCTCCCTCTCTTTGAGGCTTCATGACATACAATCCAGGATTCTCGATTGCATCCTTGATAATGCTTGAGTCATCCAAACTCCATAACCCAGCAAAGCATTTACGCACCTTAGCAATATCATCTTTGTTTTCGAGGAATCTGTTCGCAGAAAGGCAAGAATTTAACTGAATGAGTTGGTGAATCTGTTCGCAGAAAGGCAAGAATTTAACTGAATGAGTTGGTACATCAGGTTGTAAACTTTCAATAGACAAGCAGAAAAAACAATGTTACACGCTCTCCCTCGATCAATCCATCTGAAAAATTCAATCTTTATGACGATAATAAATTTGTCATGCAATTTCAACCAAAGAAAATTAATCACTGAAAGAAATCTACTTAATAATGACAAAAATATCAACCTTTCAAGTTGATTGGGTTTTGCTAGCTCTTGTTGAATCTTCTTGGTGCCAGCTAAATGATAGGAAATTGAGGGGCATTTGACTGCACACGACTGCTCAATCAATAGCCTAGCACTCCATTCCTAGTAAGACAATGAAGATATTGCATCATTTTGCAAAAACCATAGGAGCTAGCTTAATCCTGAAGTTTCATTCTTTGGGGTTTAGATGATAAAAAGCAACAGCAATATTATTCATATATGTTTAGCAATATTACTTAATGTTGCTCTACTAGTTCGAAATTTAAACAAAAAATGTTTATTTATGAAGGATCCTTCAGTTTTTATAACTCGTACTGCTGCTGCTTACTAATTATATTTATCATCTTGTCGGTTCCGGGCCCCCCCATACGTTCGCATTGCCGGAGGATGCAGTTAAAATGCGAATCATTTTCAACGACAAAGGAGTCTCTGTCGTGAATGCGAAATTTCTACTACTGTTCTTTCATGTGTTGCATTTCATACTAAACATCTCTAAGATCACTCGTGAAATACATTTGAAAGGTATTGAATTAGTTGTGGAAATACAGTAGCTTATATTCCCAACAATAAGGACCTTTGGCTGATCATGTAAGTAGTATAAATACTTCTCAGAGCTTACACAATTAGATGCACGTAAAGTTGATATAGCAAGTCACGAGGCCTATAGTAAAAACATTTGAAATAAGATTTAGTTACTGATTCCGAGGGATAATCTGTTGGTGCATATCCAGCTCGGAAGTACACCACAGCGACAGCTTCACCATCCCTAGAATTGTAGAACACAAAAAGTTCAAAGCAAAGATCATTGCAAACTAGCATTCAGAGTTAATTAATACTTACACAATAAGTGATCCGTCAGGTAAAATCTCCCCTTGTGCATCAATCTCTCCCAAAGTCCTCCTTATGCTTCTAACTTCATATGTAAAATTTAGCTAAGGAAATATCTATCGCAGCCAATAAGATCAATAACTTCACATATGACACATTTAAAGAGCAGTTAGCAGAATAAGATAGGATATTTTTCCTTCAATACTGTAGAAATCCAATGTTGGTCGTACATGTTTCGTTCTTCAGTTTGAACAACAATCACCACCACAGCCCTGCACAGCTTGTTCAAAACAGTAAATACTTTAGACCGAACACACAAAGATTTTGCTAAAATCTTAAAAAACATGACTCTACCAACCTCGGGTTATTGTATTCGGCCCATGCTCTGTACAGTGTTTCAGCAAACAAACCAACAGCATTATTTTGGGGAATCTGCAGTGGATCTAAAGCAAGGTGCTGTTTGTATTGATGAAGCAAGCTCCTGAAAAGATAAAAGTGTCCCTCCTTACAGATGCTTAATTCTAATAGTTAGCTTTTTTTTTTTTGAAAATATTTTTTTACATTCGCAGAAGCATACACATAAATTATAGCAAATATTTTGGGAAGTACGAGCTGTCTTCATCTTCATTCGTTCTTAAAGTTACTCTTATCAGTTAGCGAACACCAAAATTTAAGTGATAAGATATTTGATCAACAAATGTTGATGTTTCCTTCATGAGCTCTACATCTTCCCTTTGACTTATCAAAAGGTGTACATATTAACTTGGAGGACCACATTTACCATATAAGCTAACAAGTAAAATAATAATTACACAAGAAAACAATATATTTGACCCTTTTCCTTTCATCTACCGATCTATTTAGGCAGTACCAAATTACATTTAGAACACTTCAATTCTGACCAATGTCCTACAAAGTTTGAATCTAATTTTATCGTAAGAATCTCACTCCAATTTCACAATTTTGGTAAAATGATTTTGTCTAAGAATCAAGGATCTTTACTATTCGAGTGATGCCACAGGATATTGTGCCCGACTATTATAATCAGTGGTATGAAAAAAGAAAATCAAAGTAAGAATTAATAAAGAAATCAAGAGTGTAAAATCAAGACATTGTACATGCTAGCTAAATTATGTGCATAAAATAAAACAAAGTAATGGAAATTGGTACACAATTACAGTCATAAAAATTTATAGAATTCACTAATGTATATATGCCTATGCAAGTGAAGGTCAAAATGGTACAGTCTGAAATGACCTGTGAAGCTCACTAACAAGGCAACTCAGTCCAGGAAATGAAGAAGAAATTGTATTGAGCTCTATTTGAAGAAGTGAATTAGTTTGTTCATCCAGCATATAGTCTGATCGATGTAGTCCTAGGCGTATTTCCTAAAATAGAAGTAAGTTAAATATCAGTTCTACTCCAACAGAAAATAAATATCGACTATCTACATGGTCTGTTCAAGGTCTATGAAGACTGCATTCTAAAATAATTGGAGCTATAAATAAATAAGTAAATTGTGGTAGACCATGGGGGAAAAGAAAGCTACACAATGAAAGCCGTATTCTAATAAGGGTGACATCTAATTCACGGCCGACACTTACGATGCCAAAAAAAGGTCAAGTACTGTTTCCGAACAAATTTAACCTTTGGGAAAAAGATATACCTTGTTCTCAAAACTAAAAAGATATCATGTACTATGTGTGAGAAAAGGTAAGTAAGAAAACTACAAAAACCAACACATAACTATCCTTAATGAAGCAAGAGAGAGTCCGTGACTTCCATTGTCCTAGATCCAACAGTCCTTATTCTCCAAGTACCAATGTTTACAGTGTTTCGTCTTAAAGCCAACTTGACTTTCAGAAATTCGGTCTAATTTTCATTCTCTTAGTACTCTTTGGTGCTTTACAGTATCCTATTTGAACGATGCACCAGCTTGTGCTAAATCTAAGCACCAGAGTTATTATTCTGAGCTTCATTTCTCTTTTTTACTTTCTAAGCTACAGGTTAAAATCATATTTTATTCTAACTACTTCATGTCTCTGTACAGTTAATCTAGAGGATTATATTATTCTTCTAAGCTTCATTTCTCTTCACCTTTCTAGTCAGATGTTATATTTATGTGGCTTCTGCATCTATAATAAAACTTTCCTATCAAATATGGTCTACAACAACAACAACAACAACAAAGCGTTTTAGTCCCAAACAAGTTGGGGTAGGCTAGAGATGAAACCCAAGAAAAACAGTGGTAATAGAAA